GCACCCCCTCGACAGTTATTTAACTTCATCAATTTCTGGATATATGAATTTCTCACTATCACTAACTAAATTTTCTGTGAATAGTAGTACAATGCCTTTCATACTTTTACGAGGCACATTGACGTTAACATTCTGTAATGTACTTGACTTATCCCATTTTTCCTTTTTTAAGAGGGTTATATGCTGATAAAATAGACTTCTTCCTATAGAATATAAATTTGTCACCTCATCAGCAATTTCTTGATTTTCAATAGTTTCATATTCCAGCTGAATAATTCTAATTCATAATCACCAATAGATTTACCGCTTTGAGGGATAAGGACTTGATCACTTGGTGGTAATGTTATTATGTATTGAAAGTTATTATTCATATTGAAAGGACAATACAGACCATGGTCTTTAATAATATTATCAATATTAATTTTCTGCCTTGTACCATAAATATCATACATTAATTTGTCGGCTACTTTTTCTAAATCTCCACTTGTTGCAGCACTATCATCCTTAGAAATAAGTTTTCTTAGATTTTGGCTACATATGCCATATTCAATACGACCTTGGCGATCACTTTTCGGCATCCACAAGTCTTTGTATATACTTATAACATTATGATTATTACAGTCGTATAATGTCTCACCAGCAACTTTAATTTGTAGTCTATTTTGTAAAATCTGACTGAGATTATTTAGAAAGTGACTTTTTGTATTACTGATTTTAAGATCAAACGATAGATTAAGTGAACCAGGCACTAAGCAACTATTTGGTTTTAATTTTGGTATATTAACATAAACTTGTTCATTCGGTTTAACACTATTTGGGTTGAAGGTTATACTATAAAAATTCTATTTCCTTTAAATTTTGTCATAATACTTCTTCTAAACCCAGGTAAAAGCTCTTCTTGTAATTTGTTCATATATATATTAAATTATATTTTATTTTTCTTTTGTTTATACTGGTCATATATAAACCAAGCAGCAGTAATAGCTAAAACCCAAAGATTAGAAGCTAACCATGCCAAACCTTTAGCCCCCAAGATATAGCCTGAGTGATATTATTCAATAATGGTCCTAATACTGGCTATAATTTTTACCTAGATTTGATAAAGCCTTAGAAAATTTACTAGTAGCTTGAGCACCTTGTAGTTT